AATCTCCCTGGCAGAAGAGAGAGAACATCAGCTGATCAAGAAAAAGGGAGCCTTTCTGAAATAACTGCTGCATAAGTAGATTCGATGTAGAGTATGGGTAGGTTTTTGTCTTTTCTTCACCTCTGTGAAGTCTTTTAAAAATATTTACAGCTTGGTTAGTATGGATTTTATAAATAAATATTTACCTTTCATTATGAAGTACATATATCTTATAAATTATATATCTTTATTATGAAGACATATTTTGCCTTTTATCTTAGTCTGGCTTGAGTGTGATTTAAGGTAAGGTGATAATAGAAAGACATTCCTTGCTTAAGGTGAATCTAACACCCTTAACAAATGGATGGGTGTGCAAGCCACCTCGGGGGGGCTGAGAGAGCAGAAGTAAGAGGATGTTTGTTTAATTAAAGGAGATACTAAACTCATAAAAAATGCCCCAAACCCATCATATTTTAAGCTCAGAATGCAGGTATCAGTCTAGCAGCAGAGTAGGGGCTACCCTATAAACTGCCCTGGGTGTGATGTGTGTGTCTGCATTGCCAGTGCAGGTGTTGTGTGTTTGTGTGCAGAGAAAGGGCTGAGGACATGGAGGGACGAGGCTGGCTGTCTCGAGGCAAAAGTGGCTCAGCAAGAGCAGAAAGGAGCAGGTCTGCCCGAGGAACAGACCTTCTGAGGTATCTCTGCATATCACTTGGGGGGTGTGAGAGAGGAGCTGGTGGTGGCTGCGGTCATTGTGGGTACCAGGACTGAAGGTGCGAACTTCGGGGGCTCAGCTATGAGGCAAGAGAGAAGCTCAGCCAGACCCAGTGTTTCAGTGCATGGATGAGGTAGTAGAGAGTAGAAATTTAGGTATGTGAGGAACTGAAGGAACAAGGGCAAGTGATACCATAACCAGTGTACATTGAGGCTTCTGGTGCTTGCAGACTGAAAGATTTGAAGAGGAACATTTAATCAGAAGCAATAGGGGAGCTGATGGGCACAGGAGAGCAAAGGGCTGTACTGGCGAGACTTGTGAGGACAGTGACCTTGCAACCAGTGCACCTCTGAAAAGGCCGGGGGGGAAATAAAGCCTGACTGCAATAACTAGGGAAGGCAACTCCAACTGTCCACAAATCCAGTTGACTGCCACATGCTACCTTCAATGTCTGATCAAAAACAAAGCTTATGTGTAATTCCGCACTGATGACCAAATCCAAGAAAGAGACAGGGGGGCTGTCAGGCTTGGCATGAGACCACAACTGTGATGCAAGGACAATCTCAAAGACCTGTAGGAGAGAGGATAAACAATGGGAGTCTGTGTTGCTGTGCTACCAGCTTTATGGTAATGATAGTGTAGGATGCATGGGTGGAGGAGTGGAGCTGTGCATGAGGGACTATATAACTTGCAACAATATAAAAATATTATGGCTGAAGAGATGCACTACAGAGTTCTTGTAGGCAGAGATCGCATACTCCAATAATAAAAATGTAGGACTAGGAATGCAGT